CGAAATGGGCCAAAAACGGGGAAGGACAGTCGTGTCACCAGCCTCTTTTCCCTTTTCCAGATAATCACGAATCAGCAAGCTTGTGGATCCACTGGCTTCGAGCAGCTGCTTGCGTGCAACAAGTGGTGCTTTAAGCACACATTGCAATTGCGCCTCTTGCTTGCTTGCACCTGGATGGTGTGACACTCGGTAGCCATACAGTGTGACTGTTGCTTGCATGGATGGCATGACCTCATGCAGCATGGTCTTGAACATCATGATTGGGGACTCCTTCACTTTGTCGAAATCACTTTTGCTGACCAATCGTGAATCGAGTTCTAAAACCAACTCTGCGATCGCAGGTGTTGTCATCTTGTACTTGGCTTCCGGGAGTTGGTATCGAATTTTTCCAGCAAAAACGACCATGTGTACAAGTCGCTTGTAGGCAATCTTGGCAGTGGGATCGAACAGCGACACTTCATATGGTCCTTCAAGCTTGCTTGCAAGATGGGACAGCTCCATCGAATCAGTGGCCGGAATCAAGGCAACAAGCTCTGAAGTGATACCAAGCTTAGAGATTTCCTGCAAGTGAGCCTTGGTGGTAAGCACAACACCCCCTTTGCTTGGTCCGAGTTGCAATCGATGTGTTTGGCCAAGAGCATGACCTGTCTGGTTGACAAACGGCAAAGGAGCCTGCAGTGTCAAGTCCTCCCACTTGGATTGCTGAGGACGTGGGGGCCTCTTGGACCATGGATCATTGGCCAACCAAGGATCAGGGGCTGAAGGCGTTGTGGAGCCACTCCCTTTACCAGCAGTTTCCCCAGGCTTGATCTTGGGGGCAGTGTCCGATGGAAGCATTTCAGCATCACCAGCTCCAGCAGCTATGTAATGCACCGGGAAGCGATTCTCAATCACTCGAATCATGAACCAGCTACGCACATGAGTGGCAAACTCAACAAGTTCATCACACGCCCCAGATTGCCTCCACACCAAGCCAGCTTCATTGCGGGTATCATCAATTTCCTCAAAGAACCGGGAAATCCCAATGGCACGAAGCTGGGCATCACCAAGAGGTCCGACCTGCAGCATAAGTCGATGGAAGAGTTGACTCAGCAAATGGAAACCACACATGTCAGGAGGAGCATCTTGATCCACATAATCGACTGTGAGCTCATTGAGGTCAGTCTCAGCTGCTGCAATAGCACACATCAGAAGCGGGTGGAGCCGCTGACGATCTGCTGGCGGCACTGTGAAGTAGACAGCAGTGTGGTCATTGAGAGCATAGAGCTCAATCTGCACCCAATGGTTCCCTGTAGCGACAATCCAGACAATATGCCGATGAGCTCTGAGGTCCGGAATGATGTCATTGAGGTAATGCAGCATCGCTTGTGCAGGTTGCCAGATAGCTGGCGCACAGAAAAGTGTGGCTGGGTGGTGAGGACGAAGTAAGTCAAGGGCAAAATCCATCTCATCTGAACCTGCCCAGCCTTGAAATCTGTGGAAATGGTCAAACCTCGCACGAATTGCCGCTTCTGCACAATTCTGTGGATTGGGATCGTCCGGCGTCACAGTGAGAACCACTTGATGTGGCACTGGAAAAGCAGTAACCAACTGAATTTGCTGACTTGGCTGACCTTGATGCTCATCGCGTGCGATATGCCACAAAAAGTTCCTCCTCAATCGCAAGGCAACAACTGCTACATCCTGATCCATATGTGCACTTCTCCAATCTTCAACTGAGCAATGCAGGCACATTTCAATGATGTCAGCGTAATGCTGTGGCAAGGGAAACTGTGTCGAAATGTCTGGAAGTTGATGTTGAAGATCCAGACGAGTGATCCACCGATACAACAGCATCCAGCCGCAAAGATGTTGTGGTGCCTGTGGTTGGTCAGTCAGCACCTCAAGCCTATGCGGTGCAATGTCCAGGATTCTGGCAACAATAAATGTCAAAGCCGCCTGCTGTTCAGGGGGAACTTGTAGAAATGTAAGCCGTGTCACATCTTCTTGACGAAGAACCTCCACAGCAATCCAGTGATTGCCCATGAGAATGGGCAGGATCGTAGCACAATTGTTGGCAATATTGATCTCTTCACGCACATCATCAAAGTCTGAGGCGTTGGGATCCCACATGAGTGGCTGTGTGAATCGGACCCGGCCCTGACTCCACTGGATCCACTGTGTAGCTGCGGCAATCTCATCAGTCGCAGCCCACCCAAGCGTGTTGCACATGAACTCTGCACGATCGTTGAACGGTGCACCTGCTGCCAAAGTGGGCCTTGGGCCGGGAGATGCATGGTGTCCCCCTGCTGCAATGACATGGGGCTGCAAGACCAGCAGGTCATCCTTGAGGCATTGGGCTGACGTCTCAAGACAAACTGCAGCATTGATGGTGCTCACAGTGTACTTGGTGTGCTGGAACTGAAACTCCGCATCACTCATGATTTCAGACGGAACTGAAGCCAGGCGACACTCAGATGTATCAAGACAATGCAAGATGACCTGTACCTGGTGGGCCTCACAGCACTTGTCTGCACAGATGACAAAGAGTGTAGTGACACCCCCAACACTGCATGTACGAGCAAGGCGGCATTCCGGATGAGCTTGCTGTACTTGTCGAATCAGCAGCATAATTTGGGCATACGGCCCAAAAACTTGCACATCACAAGAGTATTCCCCATGCAGGAAAATCACAGAAGCATTGCCAGCGTGATCATCAACAATACTTGCAGCTTGAATGAGAATGTCACGAACCCACGGAGTTGCAAGAGCTCGGTCAAAGTCCAGGGCATTGTCAATCTGGAAGAGCTGACGGAGTGCAGACGGCACTGGCAAGGCATTGGACTCCTCGATGACCTCAGTTCGGATAGCGACATGACATTTCCCGATCGGAATGCCAGCAACTACAATTTCCCACCCTTCTGGTGCATGGGTGAGGGCACGCATCGGTGTACCTGAGTGCGGCTTCTCATCAATGGTACGAAAGGACACCTGTGCAAGGAGGTCATGTGGACCCTCAAATGCAAGACAAATGGCTTCCAGACATGTGACTGTGTCAGGGACCATGCACTCAAACTTCACGTCTGCTAAGGTACCACTGAAGCAAATGCCACTCTGGCCTTGAGGCAGACTGATGACAGGACGAGGCGAAATCCAATGCAAAAGCTGAGACTTGCGGACTAGGTGTACAAAATCCCCACTTGCAAACAACACAGCATTTTGAGACGTCAGTCGCATCGCCCACGCTTGTCGAACAGCTTGGAGCGGGTCAACCTGGACATGGCCGATCGAGTGAAGCGAGATCGCAACCGCAAGGATGGCATGCGGTGATGCAATGGCATTCCCGACACCCCGAAAAGCCAAATGCAGCTTGGAGGGGAAACTGCAGTCATTGATGGCCCCAAAAAGCCCACAGAACCGGGCAGGGTCAAAGAATTCGAATCCCGCACTAGTGTGATTGAGGAAGGTGTACGGCCCTCTTGACTGCACATGCTGCGGAGCAAGAGTGTGCTGTGATGTGTAGGCGGCACACAGTGTCGGCAACGGGTGTGATGTGGGCGGCACACGAGCCCAGAGGACCTGGATAGGCTTTGGTTTACCCTCAAAGGATTTCTTCCCTGGGTACAGATCAGGGTCACCGTAGATCGCACACTCCGACTCTGACAGAACCATCTGACTCCCCCAAATCGAAGGGATGCGAAATTGATAGCAGGGGTCACTCCACGGAGTCTTCGGAATGGACTTGAGGGCAAAAGAGAAACCCACAAAGCTTGGATTAGCATCAACTCGGGCCCAAGTCGAGAGCCATCGAGTGCGGCAATGATCCGTGAGCTCATGCAGTGGTGTGACCTGCATCCATGTTTTCTTAAAACCACACACTGCAAACAGCATTTCTAAAATGTGGAAATGCCTGTGTGCCGCGATTTCATCGCTGCACTCTCCAACAATGAGAATGGGCTGCACCACAGTGAGAAGCTCAATGGCCTCAACAAAAGCAAGGCCATTAGCATCATTCAATCCAGCTTTGCGACCTGCTCTGGACCAGCTCTGACACGGTGGAGATAGTGTGACGCAAACATTGGATTGCATGCGGCAAATGTTGAGCACCGTCCAGTCATCAACAGTCCCCAGAATACCAACCTGCTGTGAGTGTGGCCACGGGGTAGCAAAGTCAATAGGACAGCGATGCACCTTTGCATGGGTCCTCAAGCTCCAGATTTTCATCACTTCCTCATCATGATCCAGAGAAATCTCTTGCCCCACCGTGAAATCCTGCTCAATGCGATCCAAGGCAGCTGTAGCATGTGTCCAGCCTGAAAAGGATCCAGCGAACAAATGTAAAAAGTTCCATGGCATACATTGCTCAAGCTCTGGGCGAAAACAAATTGTAGCACCAGCAGCAAATACAACACCAGACTCATTCCGGGATGTAGTTCCACCAGCGCATACCACACGAACTCCTGCTGACAACTGTATGGATCGGGCTGCCAAGCCCGGCATCGTAATCCGGAAGGGCGAACCATCCTCCTTTTGGGCATCAAAGCCAGCAAAAGGAACAAATGGAAACACATCAATGTCCAAGATGTCCTCATTGACGGCAATGACTTCCCCACATACAACAACCTTACCCTCCAACTGCAGCACAGGGCCCGGAGTGGAACAGTCAGTAAGAAGGGAGCGGATTCTAGCCCGAAGCGGATCATTTGTGAGCTCCTCGGCGATTGCCAGAGCCTTCTCCATGGCTGACACCGATGCACCTTTCGGACCACAGCACCAGCAAATCACAGTGCCAAGGGGGGGTGAGGGATGCCCCACCCCTTATTGACACGGACTTGCACCGTGGAGGTGCACGATCCGCCCTGGGTGCCCGTTCACCCGAGCTTTCGGGCCTTTGAGCCCCGCAGCTATGTTACAATATGTTACATGTTCTTCTTATTTGCTCCCCCCTTGCTGGGTCATCTTCGACCCACGGAAGATGAAAGAAATTCAAAGACGAACTTCAGCTCATCTTCCGGCCACACCTGTCGCATACGTGGTGTAGTTCGTTTCGCACTGACTGCAGGGCTCCTGGTGAACAACGAAACGGCCCAGAACCGGTGGGATGTCACCCCCCTGAGTGTCGGTTTTCCCCGTGTCGGGTTGGACTCGAAGTCGCTTCGATCGATCCCACCAGGTCGGTCCGTCGGCCGTGTCGCATCACCGGTGAGAGGTCGAGAGGTGCAACACCTCCACGAACCAAGCCCTATCGAATGCTTCCGGTGCCTCAATGAGATTCAGTATTCACGTTTCATATCGGTTCATCATGGTTCATCACATGTCTATGTGCACTTCCCAAGTTCCTGTTTGACTTCACAACCAATCCCAAAACATCTCCCAAGCCCCTCCTCGACTCCTTCTCTTCCGCTCCCTCCCTCTCCTGGTTGCCAGGGTCAGTCTTGTAGAAACCGATGCTGCAAGCTTCGCAGGAGCTCTTGACCGTATCAAAGCTGTAGCCCTTGTCGCAAAGGCAGGCGGCGCTCGAAACCTCAGAGGGGAGGTTCGGACGACAGGTTTGGACCACAGGATGCGAGCGATGTCCCACACTCATTTGGGCGATCGGCGATCAGTGACCTTCACTGTTGATCCGGCTTGGTGGAAACGATGGATCAACAAAATCAGTCATCCCAGGAACACCACCCAAAAAAAATGTTAAAAAAAGAAACATATGTATATTATATATACATATATATATGCGATTACATTCTGCACTTTAAAGAAGCACTCTGAGGAAACCAAATCTAGCCAAACCTCAAACCAGAAACGACGTCGAATGCAGCTTTCATCAGGAAATTCACTCAAACCCAAAATATGTCTGATCTTTCTGATCCGCTCACATGCCTTCCGTCAACTTCGCAACTGCCTTGCCATTGAGAGGCCGCACCCTTGAAGAGAGTTGTTTCTCCAAGAGCACACGGAATCCTAGAGCAGCGTTGATCACAGTCAGTCTGGCAGTGCCAAGGATCCCAAGACAGCAACCCCTCTGGCGAACCCAGGGCCCAGGGCCTGAAGATAGACTCAAATAGACCCTGTTACTGGATGTTGCGGGTGCGTTTATCCGTTGGTGGTGTCTTTTTGTACTTCCCGTCTCTAGTTCAATGTTTTGCCAAAGTACCGGGTCTGTGGTGTTGGATGCGGCGTTTTCGTATATGGGCGAGTCGTTCAGAACCATATCATGTCACCGTCCATGAACCTGCGCCGGTCATACAAACTCTTCATTGTGTGTGTGTGTGAATCCGCGCTGTGAGTGATGCATCCTTTGCACGTTTTGGCCGTGTCAAAGCAAACCGTGCGGGGTCTCCTTCTTTCAAAACGCCCATACGGCCCAGACGAACATAATATGCGGACTTGGGATTCCACCCGTGACGTTACAATAAGAGGGGAACATGTAACATGACCTACTAACAAACAGAGAAGGAGACAAACATTATAAGCATTTTAAATCATTATAAGACTGAAAACAGGAATGGAGAATGCAGGGAGAAAGGACCCCAGAGGAGAATGAGTCAGAATGAGTCTTCGCTGAAACCAAACCATCGAAACCATCAATCCCATCCCCATGAATCCCATCTCCTCGTAGCTGACGAAGGCTTTCCGCCGCCACAGTAGTAGCCGCGGGAGCACACCTCGCAGATCCGGCCTGGCATCGACTCGACAAGGTGATATTGTATATACTGGAAATTATTCATGTACAAATATCATGTAGTGTTATACTATATGCTCAACAAGTGTTATATATATACATACACACACACATCTGTGCGTGAATCTGATGTCCGCGTTTCAGTGGCATATGTTGGAAGGGGCTCTGGCACCACAAGCTACAGCGGATGATGCTTCCCAATGGCCTGTTTCCCCAGAGGTGATACAGTCTTGAAGGCTGGCAGGTTGTTGGTACCACAAGAATGTTCACCCTTCCACATCCAGGTGCAACTCGCTGAGTAGTCATGGGTGCACTTGCTGCGGCGTGAGAATCCCGCCTCCAAGCTTACGCCTTTGGGCACCCACGGTGAGGCTAGGCGAACAAATGTCGCATCCAACATGCCCAACACAAACTCCAAATTCGGATACCCCTTCAGCGAAAGAACATATATTGTATATATATATAAATATCTTTACCGCTCTCCGAACAGAGTTTTTCCTCTCCAAAGTC